CCAGACCATTGTGTGTCCTCTGGGCTAATGCACACTCAATGGAACTCATGTGTGGAGAACAACTCTCCCATGGAGAACACCCTCCCCATGGAGAGCACACTACCCTATGGATCACATCCCTCCTGTATGAAGCACATTCCACCTCTGTGGAGTACACATCACCCCTGTGGAGAGCACCCCACCACGATGGAGCATATCCCCCCACTAGGGCTTATGGCATGAGCTCCTTAGGGGTGAGGCTGGGGGACCCTGGAGGCAACAGCCGCTGCTGGGATCCGGGGTCGGGGAATGACGAGCCTCGGGGACTGCGAAGGGCGGGGAGCAGGAAAGCCCGGCAGTGGAGGGGCAGGGGGCAGCAGGGCGGGCAGGCTCGTTCTCTTGGCACGGTGCGGAAGGCTGAAGCCGAGTATCAGTCACTTTTGAGGAGACCCATCGGAAGCCGCCGTGGCCGGTGGCTGTCAGTGGGCAGCAGCCGCGTTCCGCACTCCCTCCTCCGCAGCGCAGGCAGAGTGCGGAGCTTTGCCGGCTCTCCTTGCCCTTGGCAGCTGCCTGCCCCCTCCGCCGGGCTCTGGCCGTGGCAGGGGCTGACAGGGTGCTGCCGGCTCCGGTCCCTCGCCATCCTCTCGCCTCACAGGCACTGACCCTGCTGCTGCACCCCGACCGGCGAGGCTACTCCGTGCTGAGACACGCACCCCAAAATCGCCTTGAGTCAAATTACTGGGCTCATCTCACCAGCTGCTATTTCCTTCTGTCCCCGAGCCAAGCGAGGAGCTTGTGAAAAACAAGGAGGTGGCAGTCCAGGGTGCCCTGAGTCAGACGCCGCCGGGCTGGGGTCACGGGGCTGCTCTGGAGGGGCTCAGCAGTGTCCCCAGCCGGCAGGGACACCCCGCCCCGGCCGGGCGCTGCTGCCAAAGGCGGCCAAGCTCTCCTCCCATCACTCCCCCTGGGCAGCTTTCCCGACCGGACACTGCTGCCTGGCCCAAAGCCGGTTTGCAGCCCTGTTTTTCAAAGTTGTTTTGGTGTCTCCTGGCAGAAAGCTGCTGGTGACCCAAATTCCAAATATAGAAGCAAGTCCCTTTTTTTATGCGACAAATGCAAAACCTCTGTCCTACGTTCATCCTTGGGAAATAGGTCTTTTTGTCAGAGAAGTGCAAATGCAACACCCAGATTTCTTTCCAGTGAGGTCACCTCCTTGCTGTGGTCACTCCCAGAGGGCACTCACAGTATTTGTTCTAGGTAAACTCCTCCATGCTCCTTCACTGCTGGAAAGCTGCACTCAGAGCCTCAGGCAAATCCCAGGCTCTTCATGGACCATCCTCATCTCAGGCGCTGGGCAGTTTCTCTGGGATGGAAGTCCACATGAGGCCAGCCTGCTGCCCTCTCCCATGGCAGGGCAGCTGGGGAACCAAGCCCTGTCTGTTCCCCCCACCCTCGGGTGCTACATGGGCTGTGGGTATCTATGGGGGGCACAGGAGGTTTTATGGGGCTGGAGGGCGGTGGTTGCCCCATAGATTTGATCATCAACCATCTGCTCTGCACCTCACCCAAGTTACTGTCTCTCATCCAGGCCATGCAGCACAGAGCAGCTCCTCCCCACTGCAGAGCACATCCCTGTCCCACAGGCATCCCGGGAAGGAACTGTCCCAGCCTTGCAAGAACCACAGGTTCCCTGAGTGCCTCACAGCTCTTCTCCAGCGTGGGCCAGGGGGCTGGGCAGAGGTCTCTGTGCCCACTGGGCTCTGGGAGCCAATGCAAAGACCTGTGCTGGGAGCACTGGGGTGCTGGGAGCACTGGGGTGCTGGGAACACTGGGGTCCTGGCCACTGGACAGCAAGTGACCCGGGTTGGTAACAGCCCCCATTTACCACTCACCTGAGCCACACCACATCCACACTGCCCTGCCCAGCAGGGGCTGAACTGAGCCCTTCAGCTGGGTGTGTGTCTGGCCAGACACAGCTGTGTCTCCCTGCCAGCATCCCTTTGGGAAGAGGGAGGAGACCCTTCTGTGGAGTCCTGTGGACCTGGGATGGAGACCACCTGAACCAGACAGGTCTCAGGCATCTGGGAGGGGCAAGGCAGTGGGGGAGAAGCCATGCTGGGCCTGTGCCTCATGGACCTTACTCTCGCCACCGAAGGCCAGCAAGACACTTGGGTTCCTCAGGGACTGGTGGTCTTTCCCAGTTTAAGTAAGGAGCATGCCTCTTGTCCCCAGTGCCACCACTCAGGGGACCAGAGGTGCTCCCAAGGGGATTGATGAGGATTTTTAATGATGTGAAAGAGTGCATGTTGCATTTTCTGGATCTACAACACAAACAACTTCAGGCAGGAGCTTCCAGGCAAATCTATCCCAAGGGACAAGCAGCACAGGAACAGCTACCTGAGGAGCTGAGGTGTGGCACATACAGACACCAGGGGTGTGCGTGGGTGATTGGTGGCACCTCCCAGTCCATTTCACTGGGGCTGGGTGGGTGTCTGGGCACATCCCTGGGGCCCTGGACAGGGTACCCCAAGGGCTTTCAGCAGGATGGGGTGGGACAGGGTGGCTTAGGGAAGGAGAATGAGCAGCTTCTGCTCATTCATAAAGACCCTGAGATTAGCTCAGTTGATCAGAGCATGGCACCAATGACACCAAGGTGAGGTCTTGACCCTGTATGGGCCATTCACTTCAGAGCTGGACTCAGTGATCCTTTTGGGTCCCTTCCAGCTCAGTATATTCTGTGATTCATTTCCCTGTTTTCTGCTGTTTGGCACAGAGCCTCTGTTGAAGGATTGTCTCTGTACACTGCCTGTGTACTTCTTCATTAACTGCTCTTCCCAGCCCCAGCCAACGAGCGCCCAGCTCATGGTGTGGCAGCAAGCCCTGTGGCACACTCCGATTGTGGCCTTCGGGCACCTGGGAGCTGCAAGGACTGAGCCAGCTGCTGACCCATAGCCCCAGGACATGGCTGGGAAATGCTTCTTCAGGTGCTCAGCAGTTACCTGGTGACTTCAGCATCACCAGGAGGAATAGCTGGGCCAGAGCTCTCTGGGCTCCGGGAAAACTCATGTCAGGGATGCCAGGAGCAGCACTTGCTTGGGATGCAGTAAGGGCACCCCAGGCACCTGCAGGGAAACCAGAGGGGGCAGTTGGGGCTGGAGGGGTGCCCTGGTGCCCTGGGACCCCCTTCTCAGTCAATGCCAAAGTTGGAGATGTGTTCTTGGAGGGATTTACAAAGATCCAAACATACTATTATTTCCCTGATCTCTTATTGTTTTAGAAGTTTTGGGAGGCTTTTTTTTTTTTTAATAGAGGACAGGTAAATGGGACTTGGAGCTAGGTGATCCTTAAGGGCCCTTGCAACTCAAACCATTCTATAATGAGCACCCTGCCTGCTTTGCATGCCATTTGCTGGGTGAAATGAAGCGCGTGCATTACACACTGGCCCCGCACCTTGCCAGAGGCTCTCAGTGCTGCTCTCAAAACCTCCTGGATGAAGCAGAAGCCAGTGTGATCACCTTCCTATTTTCAGCAGTCACCCAAGCTCCCAGAGTGCCTCCAGTTACACTCGTGAGCAGCAGAGCCCGAGGCAGCTGCTGGGGTGGGCTCGTGCTGTGACACACAAGGCCCCACTTAAGTCCCCATTACCTGCGGGCAGGTGAGGTGCAGTCAGCTGCTTGCTCATCCTCTCCAGCCACAGCCACCTCAGGCCTCGCAGCTCAGCTCAGCGTGACTTTCGCAGTGACCTGAGGGCCAGAGCCGTGCAGGAGTCAAAGCCAGGTCATGCCATGTGTTCCCCCATCCTACCTCGGGATGCCACAGGGAAGGCACTCTGGTTTCTTTTCCCTTACTCGGTGTCAGCAGACACTGCTGTCCCTGGGGACACACCGGTGGTCCCTCCAGTCTCTCCTTGCTATGCACAGACAGAAGACACAGTGACAGGGACCCCAGCTCAGCACTGCAGCGTTGTAGGCACACGAGGGCTGGGCCACCACGGCTTCTTGCCCACTGTTCCCTGTGCCAGCAAGATTAAAGTCACTTCCCACTGTCACACAGCACAGCTGTCACCCACCCCAGAGCCCCTGGCCGCAAGCTCTGGCCAGGCACAGCAGGGCCTGGCAGCCACTGCTGATGGCCCCAGGCTGGTGAGAAGCTCCTTGCTCTGCCTCGCCATCTGCACTTTTCCAGCAGTAAATCGCTGGGGCTACAGCTGCCCTGGGAGGGGACTGCCACCCCCTCTCCGCAGCAGGAGACCAGGGCAGGGTGCGGCAGAGACTGAAGCATCTCCCATCCCTGTAGGAATGGGGAGAGGGGCATCCCATTTGCACCTGTGCTTTAGGGCATATGCCAGCACAAATGGGGAAGTTTACCCTGGAACATGTTTCACCCTAACGAGATTCATTCTGCTGCATTTTTTTATGCCCTCCTCTGCGGCAGCAGGATTAAAGGCTAATTTCTGCACTCCTGCTGCAGCCAGCAGGAGCCATCCTGTAATCACTCCGTGTGAAACCAGGACAAGCAGAAGCAGCAAAATGAACCTCCATGGGCAGCAGGAGCTCTTGGCTTCAGGCAGGGGCCAGGCTGGAGGTCAAGTGTGGTGATGCTGTAACTTTTGCGTGTCTTCTGCAGATCATCCCCCTCTATACCCAGCAACTTCAGCTCCTTGGGCATTCACTGAAACTGCCATGGCCAGCTCAAAATGCCCTCCATGGACATCCCAAATGAGTGGATTTTCTGTTTAGGACTGTTTCAAGCTTCACAGGCTTCTGCTCCCCTCCTGGCAAAGTGGGGTGGGAGCTCTGCAGGGTGGCAGCTCTCCTCCCAAAATGGTTTATACTCTTCTGCAAGATCCTTCAATTACGGAAGACTAAATGTTATTTAATTTGTGACCTCGTGTTGAATAAGACACAATTAAATTCTACCTCTTGTGAATTTACAATGGGGAATTCTCACCTGTGATGCCAGATGAGTCCTAACTGTTCCATGCATGACTCAGACACCCAAACGGCTCCATTAATCACTGTTTTAATAAATGTTCTATCTTTATACAGACAATATCCTGCCCTGTGACAAGCCTGGCACGAGGCCAAACCAAACCTTGGTCCGACGGCCAGCCCATGCTGAGGATGAAGGCAAACCCGGTAATGCCAAGCATCCTGAGGGGCTGTGACACTCCAGGGACGTTCCTGGTGTCGTTCCTCACGAACCCCCTGAGTCCCCTCGCAGGTGGGTAATGGTCGGGCGGCACATCCAGGGTTTTCGGGCCCAGCCCCCTCCTTCGCAGCAGTGAGAAGGCAGTGGGTGTCCGGGAAGCCTCAAGCCTCTGTCCCTTCCCTTCGGCGGGCGCCAGCACATCCCCCGCACCCTTCCTGTCCCCCCGCGTCCTCGGGGCGCTGCGGGCGGGACCGGACTCTTATCGCTTTTTCTGTCCAGTGGCTTCAGCTCTTGTGTCCACCTCCCTCCTCCCGTTCCCGTTGTATCTCGGTGCCGGAGCTCCCTTCTTCCCCCGCACCTCCGGGGGCTCAGCCGTTCCCCTCTACCCCAACACTCCGGCGCTCTCCAGCCTTTTCCTTTCCCCCCGCGCCCCCGGGAGTCCCCAGCCCCTCGCCGCCGCCTGCCCGGGGCTCTGCCGCCTCGTCGCCCCGCGGCCCGGAGGAACCCGGCCGGCCCCGGCCTCGCCCGCTCGCGTCCCCCCAGACCCCGCTCCCCTCCCGGGACCCCGGCCCCACCCCGGGGCGGGCCCCGCCCCCGCCCTCCCTACGCCCACTCCCATTGGCTGCGGCGGCGGGGGGCGGTCCGCTTTGTGACGTCACGATCAGCTGTCGGAAGGTGCCGATTTGTGCGGGGGAGCGGCGCGCGCTCGGCAGAACCGCGGGGTCCGCACCGGCACCGGCACCGATACCGATACCGCCCCGGCACCGGCACTACCTCAGCGCCTTCCGCCGCCCGGGACACGCAGGGCCGGTGAGTGCCGCGGGACGCGGTCGGGGCCGCAGCGGGGCCGGGGGTGGGGGCTCTGCGGGCCCGCTCGGCCCGGGCGGGGAGCGTCCGGCGGGGGCGGCCCGGGACCCCTCGGCTTCGGCCCCCCCGCGCCTGTTGTTTGTTTCTTCTCCACCGGATTAAGATTGGCGGTCGTTCCCCGCTCCCATTGGCTGCGCTGTGGTGACGTTCCTCATTTGCATTTGACATTGAGACGTCACAGCGCTCCCCCCGTGTCCCGCCGTGACCCCGCCGGCCCGGGGCGGCGGCGGTCGCGGCACGTGGGACCTGCCCGCGGGGGTCACGCGTGGGTGGCCCCGGGCCCCTCCCGCGCCGTCGCTGCTGTGGCTTTTCTCGGCAGGAAACGTGGATGTGTCTCCCCCCGTGATGCTTAGACGCACTTCGGGTGCGAAACGTGGCGATTTGGAAAAGGAATGTAAATATATAAATACAAGTATGTGTCAATATGTTAAATATGTCATAGAATCACAGAATGAGTCGGTTTGGGTGTGACCTTAAAAATCATCTCGTTCCAACGCCCTGCCAGGGGATGTCCTGGTAGGGACACCTTCCTATTCTGTGTGTTACATACTGTATAAAATATAGCATATATAGTATACTATATGAAATAAATTTGTGTAAAGAATGTAAATAGATGCGAATTGCTAACACAAAGTATTATCTGTTTCCAGAAAATCCTTGGTGCTTTGGATTTAGATCCCTCTGTCTTTAGGTCTCGATTGTGTTTGTAAATCCCACCAGGTTTTATGAGATTCAGATGTATGCTTTGATATTTTTGTTGAGTTTAGTTGTGCTGCCCAGGCAGGGGCTGTGCGTGGAGGGGGAGGGTGCTGGCAGTACTCGGCTGAGGTTTGTGCCATGGGGCAATTCCATCACATCCCAGGATGGAGTCCCTCAGCTACCAAACTCAGCATCTCCCTCTGCTATTGCTGCTCTAAGGACACCTCCTTTGGGACAGCTCAAAAAAGTCATAAGTCCTAACAAGGCAACTTTCCTCTGGATTTCATGTCTCTCACCTCAGCTTGGCTGAGCCTGGTGGGCCCTGGAAACTAATCCTGTTCCTATCTGGGGGGACTTGTTGTGGAAAAACTTGGATTTTATGGAGTGTAAAAATGGGTTAAAAAGGGAATTTTTGCTCTTGTAATTCTTTTATGCACATACATATGCATATTTGTGTAGGGGAGCTACAGCCCTGCTCAGAGCATCTGAGCAAAGAGACTGGCATCCCAAAATAGTGGATTAAACTCTCCCTCGAGCCCAGCAATAGCCAGTGCTGAAGCAGCACCAACGAGGGCTGAGCTGGGCAGGTGCCAAGTGCTGTTGCTTGTTCGGCCAAGGTTTTGCTGGGGTAGGAAACAATCCCAGAAACCCTCCCAGAAACAGGTGTTGGGCTCGGGTACAGGACTGTGCTGGACCTCCTTTCCCACCAGGCTTAATCTACAGAGTGCCAAGAATTGTGTTGTTTTGCTCTAAAATAAACCTTTCCTCTCCTTTTGTATTTCCTCCCCCCAAAATACTCCCCTTCTCCCCTCTCAAACAACAAACCTACCACAAAAAAAGACAAAAGCTGTCTGCTGTAGCTCACTGTCAGGAACCCATTGCATCAAACTGCTGCTTATCTGTGTGAACAAAAAAGGAAAAATATAAAAGTTTTTCCCCAGGTAATAAAATGGTAACACAAACTTGTAATTAGACTGGAAAGCCCTGTGACACAAACTTGTATCTGAGGGGTTTTTAATGCTGACTGCACAGCGAGTCCTGCTCTGGTGAGGGGGGGCCTGAGTGGCCTGGGGAAAGCTGCTGGGAGCTCGGGGTTCTTGTGGTGTCACAGTCCAGGGTCCCAGGCACTGTTCAGCCTCTGTGATTTGTGGAGGCTGTAAGGCTGGGCTGCTCCCCTCCCTGCCAGTGTGCAGCTCCTCGGGATGCTTCACTCCTTGGGATGCTTCACCCAGCGCATCCCAGAGAGGAAAGTTCTAAAATTTCATAGCACGGCTCATGGCAAATCTAAAATTTCCAAGATGCTGCCAGCCCCTGGCAGCTTTGCCAGGACTGTGTGTGATGATATCAAGCAGCACGAGGCCACATTTGCCCTTGGGGTAAGGACCTTCCTGCAGCAGTGACAGAAAAGCTGCTGCGGATGCAGAGACCAGCTCTGGGAAAAACATCTCCTCATTCTTCAGGGTCCCCCTCCTTCAGACAGGATCTGGAGGAGCATGTGGGAGCTCTAGTTCCTGCTGAGACCCTGGACTGGCTGAGGAAAGCCCTTCCAGGTCCTGTCTTGGTCTGCCATTAATCAGAAGAGTCTCATGATGAAGATTTTTTTGGGATTTTTCAAACTGCTCTCTGCCTTCCCCCCCTCTACTCCCCTGATCTGCCGTGGAAGAGGCTCTGGCTCAGCCTCAGCCTCTGTTTTGCTGGAATCAGTCTGTCTGTGCTGGCAGCACCTCGGGGTGCAGCTCTGCCCCTGTGCCCAGGGCTCCCCCAAGGGAATCCATCAATGGCCTGCTGGCAAAGCAGCAGGATCAGCCAGCTCTGGAGCACAGCTGATGTGGGACCAAATTCAGCGCTAATTCAGCTCCAGCAAACTGTCCCAGGCAGGTCCCTGCCAGCTCTGGTCCCTCCCTTGGCGGGGGTAGGGGACAGGCCAGGGATGATTTGCTGGTCATTTCTGGGGTGACGAGCAGAACTCCCCCGAGCTGCCCAGCTGCTGGATCCCCCTCTGTGTGTTGTGTTTCTGTGCCAGGTTTAGGATTTTCCTACATCCAGCACAGCGAGCCTTTGAAACGCTTGTCTAATTTAGGTAAAATGAGTCGAGAATCCCATTTCCCAAGTGGGTTGGAGGAAGGCACCTGATTTGTACCTCTGCCTCCTGCCGGGCTGACTGCGCGGGGTATTCTTAGCTGTGCCGAGGAAGGGCTGCTCCCGCTGCCTGCCAGCAGCATCCCTCCCGCCGCCCAGTATTTATGGAAAGTTTCAGGGAGCCTGTTGCCCTTTCCAAGGGGAGCTGCTGTTTTCTTGCACGCTGTGACTTGCGAGCGCTCCAGTCCTGCGGCGCTGCAGCTCCTGGCCACCCCGGGGCTTTGCTGCCCAGCCTGCTCCCTATTCTTAGCTCCTGGGGTTATTTGCAGCCACGGTGACTCAGAAAACTAATTATTGTGTCGAGGTTTCTGAAGGGGAAAAAATAACTTGATGCATTGTGGTTTCCTTACTTCCACTTTGAATTTAATATTTTTAATACCTTTTGGCTTGTTGTAAAAGGCTGTTGGACTTTCTGGAAGGATTCTGATGGACATAATTCGTTTAGAAACTTGTCTGTCCCCAGGTGAGTGTCCCTGGTGGGCTGTCCCCTTGTGCTGGCAGTGCCTGGTTGACATGCCGAGTCAGGGGTTTGTGGAAGCCTGGGAAGGATGGCAGCTGTCCCGTGGTGGTGGCCCCAGCTCTGGCAGGGACAGGGGCTCAGTGTGTGCTTTCTGGGGCAGCTCAGCCCCAAGGGTGTGGCACATAGGCAATCCCCTTGTGTCCTGAGCAGAGACACCTGGGACACACTTCCCCCACAGATGTGCGGCAACTGCAGTCGCAGGAAAGCTGGAAGAAGGGACCTGAAAGGAAGAGAAGGCATCTCCTGGTCCAAACTGGTTCTGTGGGCACCACCTCTGCCTGTTGACAAGGCACAGATTGACCTCAGTCCCCCATCAGGGACACTATCGGGTCCCTCCTGCGCTGCAGCTCCCATTGAGACTGCCAGCCCTCCATGCCCTGGTGTAAATGGGGGAAATGTTTGCTGCAGGGAAAGCAGAGGCTTTCCAAATACCTGGATAAACTTCAAAACTTGGTGTGCTGCTGGCTGCTCCAGCCAGAGAAGTGCTTGGTGGAACCTGCAGGGATGGAGGTGGCACGTGGCCATCTCACTGGGCAGGAGCTGGCCAAGGAGTCTCGTCTTGTGAAGGGCTGAGCAGGTCACCTGAGTCCTCTGTGATGAGCTGATGGAGGAGCTTGGTGGCTGCCAGGGAGGGCCTGGAGCTCCTGGGCAAGGAGCTGCTCTCTTCTAGAGGGATGGGAGATTGCAGAATCACAGAATGGTTGGAGTACAAAGGGACCTTACGAGAGCATCTCATCCCACACCCCTGCCCTGGGCAGGGACACCTTCCCCTATCCCAGGGTGCTCCAAGCCCCATCCAGCCTGGCCTTGGACACTTCCAGGGATCCAGGGGCAGCCACAGCTTCTCTGGGCACCCTGTGCCAGGGCCTGCCCACCCTCACAGGGAGCAATTCCTTCCCAATATCCCATCTAACCCTGCCCTCTGGCAGTGGGAAGCCATTCCCCCTTGTTCTGGCACTCCATCCCATGTCCAAAGTCCCTCTCCAGCTCTTTTGGAACCCCTTTAGGCACTGGAAGGGGCTCTGAGCTCTCCCTGGAGCCTCCTCTTCTCTGGGTGAGCACCCCCAGCTCTCCCAGCCTGTCCCAGAGGTGAGGGGCTCCAGCCTTTGGAGCATCTTTGTGGCCTCTTCTGGACTCCCTCCAGCAGCTCCACATCCTTCTGATGTTGGCTCCCCAGGGCTGGAGGCAGCTCTGCAGGTGGGGGTCTCACCTGAGTGGGCCGAGGGGCAGAATCCCCCCTCACTTCTGCCCACACTGTGGGATCAGCCCAGGGCAGGATTGGTTTCTGGCTGCCAGTGCCCATGGCCAGGTCACATCCAGTTTGTCACCACCAGCACCCCCAAGTCCTTCTCCCAGGGCTGCTCCCCGTGCTGGTGCTGGGGCTGCCCTGACCCAGGTGCAGGACCTTGCACTTGGCCTGGCTGAACTCCAGGAGGTTCACGTGAGCTCCTCCAGCCTGCCCAGGACCCTCTGGGTGCCCCATCCCTTCCATCTGCTGAACTGACTGCTCCACACAGCTCAGTGCCATCCACAAACCTGCTGAGAGTTCTAGAGATCAGAGCTTCAGCCTCCTGCTTTAACCTGAGTTTTTCAGAGACAGGGTAAAGTGAGGGGGAGGACTAATGCTCATTTTGGCCCTTGCCTGCATTTTGGCCTCACTCCTGCCTTCACGCTGCAGATTTGATCCTGAAGGCTTTGCCAGGAGCCTCCTGCAGCTCCCTGGGCACCACCATGGTGCTGGTCCTGCCACTGTAGCCTACCCGTGGCACAGACTCTCTTGCACCATAAAAGAGGTCAGGGCCATCCCACATTCCCTGGCTTGGGGAGGGTGACAGCTGGAGACTTGAATTCTTTGAGGAATGATCCTTTAAAATGATCCAGTTCAAGTTTTGCTCTTCGGGGAGCTTTTAATTCTCTCCCACTTCCTTCGGAGCTATGACAGCTGCCTGTGAGCCCCTGTGCCTTAACTTAAGAAGTTACATTTGGGAGAGGGGACAATCAAAAATAATAGTGTCTGTTGTGTCCTCAGAAAAGACAAATTACCTCTGGGTTGGGGTGGACACCTGAGGAATCCAGGTACCTCACTTCCCTTGCTGTGATTTTCTGGAGACTGGTCCCTAAGCAGGCAGGTGCTCTGTTCCTGACCAAACAGCTTTCCTGCTGTCCTGTGAAAGCTTCCATCATGATTTAACAAAGGAAAACTAAAAGCTTTTGACCATGTCAGTGGTCATTTGACTTTGAGCTTGCTGGAGAATGAGCCCCTGGCAGGGGGCTCCCAAAGCCAAGGCTGCAGAGCATGGGAAGCACTCACTGCAGTGAGACATTCCAGGCTGACTTGTCTTAGGCGACAGGGAAAATCCCTGCCTGCCTCAGCCCCTGCCCTGTGGTGGCTGCTTGGGTGCTTTTCTGGGTGACCTTGCCCTGGCAGCCAAACTGGGGCCACTGTCTGCCCCTGTCCCTGTGTGCCAGATCTTGTCCCCAGCTCTGCTGTTGGGTGACATCCATATCTGGGCAGGGACAAAGACTGACACTAGCATGAGGTAAGTCAAGAGCATCCTAGTGTGGTGGGCTTGGGGCACAGCACAGGGGACCCTGCTGTCCCCAGCCCCACGGTGTCATCCTGAGGACCTCCCTGCTGACACTGGGGTCAGCTTTGGCTCAGCACTTCTGCCAGCCTGGCAATGCCCCAGCTCAATAAGCACATGAACCCACTCCTGGCCTCACAGGGAGCCAGGGCCACGGTGGCTGCGGGGGACTGGCCCCTGTGACCCCTGTGCCTCCACGAGCTGCCCCAGGCCCTCCTGCCCAGGCACCCGGGGAGCAGCAAACAGTGGGAGACTCTGGGACATCACCAGCAGGAACCTGGGAGCTGTGGAGTTTCTGCCACAATTAGATATTTAATAAACATCTTAAATAATTAACATTCATGTCATATTAAAAGGTACTTGCTGCCTAGGCGAGTGCTCAGGCAGGTGCCAGGCTTCCAGGCTGAGCTGGCATGCTGAGGCCACCCCCAGCCTCGGGGCTGGCCAGGGTGGCCTTTGGCAGCCAGGTGGGGATGGAGGCACGTGGGCATCCTGCAGGAGGGAGCTCCCACTGTGCTTGGAGTGGAGCACACCAGAGTGCATTCAGAGCCAGCCCCTCTGTGTGTTGTTTCCTTGACTTACATGAATGTGCTTTAATGGTCCAGGTGAGGGGGGTCTGCCTGATTTCAGTGATAGCACTGGAGGGTAGCAGCATGGCCGTGGTGCTTGTGGGCTCAAAGACACAACTCTGTCACGTCTCAGTGCCCAAACCCTCCCTGCTCAGTGCCTCCAGGGGAAGCCAGGGACTCTCTCAGGACACAGAACAGAGTCCTCCCTGACCTCCTGTTCTGCCTGGTGAGAGTCTCCACAAGCCTCAGCTGAGCCATCCCAGAGTGAGTGGGAAGCTGGGCTGGAGCCCTGAGCACTGCAGTCTGCAGCGGGGCATGGCTGTGCCCAGTGGTCTGCCTTGTGCCTCTGGGGCACTGGAGTCACCAGAGACCTGCTCTAGGGGACAGGTGGTGTCACACTGCTGCCCTGGCCATGCCAGGGAGGGAGAGCTGGCAGTTGCAGGGCTGCTTCATGCTCCATCACTCCCTTCTGCAGCTGGAAGTGTTTGAGATCAGAGCCCCTGAGCTGCAGGGAATCCCATCCTGGGGGAAGGCTCCTTTGGTTTCTCATTTTCTGCATTGTAGAGCAGATGTTGTTCCTCCCAAAGCACCTGAGAGACTGCAAAAGGCATTTCCATCCCACAGGGATGAATAAAAGAGTGCCTGAGCCCCAGAACTGCAGTGCCCAGGCCAGCCACCTTTGCAGGGTGCTGGGACTGGGGAAGCCACGGGGCAGGAGGGCTGAGCTAGAACTTGTCCTGCTGAAGGACTGGGGTGGCTGTGGACACATGGTGCCCCTGTACCCTGCCCATTCCCCCCTGCCTGGAGCAGATGGAGTTCCCCTGGGTGGAGCATCACTCCAGCTCCACGGCCCCTTGGCTGACAGGGTCCTGACCTGGGGCTTTGCCATGAAATGGGGATTCACCCTTTCAATGCACCCACATCAGTGTGCCAAGCACGGCAGCACCCAGCTGTCCCTCTCACTGCATTGAGCTCCTGCTGGCATTTTATGGCCTCTTCATGCCCTTTTAATGTCTCTGGGCCAAGAGGCACACAAATAACACACAAATAGTACTCTGCACCTTTTGGCTGCCACTCCTGTGCCTTGCCATGAGCTTGGCAGACATTAACGAAATTAATGAGTGCTGACCTCCCCCCACACTGGAGGGAATGTGCTTTCCCAGGGATAAAACAGTGATGAGCTGAGCAGAGGTGAAGCAGAGACCCACAAAGGGCTGGGATGAGAGGCTGGATGTGAACAACAGCGTGTGCTGGCAGCCCAGAGAGCCAACAGCATCCTGGGCTTGTCCTTACAGGGTGGGCAGAGGTGAGGGGGGGATTCTGCCCCTCTGCCCACTCAGGTGAGACCCCACCTGCAGAGCTGCCTCCAGCCCTGGGGAGCCAACATCAGAAGGATGTGGAGCTGCTGGAGGGAGTCCAGAAGAGGCCACAAAGATGCTCCACAGGCTGGAGTCTGTCAGGTCTTGAGCCTGACTGGGAGCTGGGGGTGCTCACCCAGCGAAGAGGACTCAGAGAGAGCTCAGAGCCCCTTCCAGTGCCTAAAGAGGCTCCAAGAGATCTGGAAAGGGACTTTGGAAAAGGACTGGAGTGCCAGGACAAGGAGGAAAGCTTCCCACTGGCATAGGGCAGGGTTAGATGGGATATTGGGAAGGAATTCTTGGCTGTGAAGGTGGGCAGGCCCTGGCACAGGGTGCCCAGAGAAGCTGTGGCTGCCCCTGGATCCCTGGAAGTGTCCAAGGCCAGGCTGGATGGGGCTTGGAGCACCCTGGGATAGGGGAAGGTGTCCCTGCCCAGGGAGGGGGTGGAATCAGATGAAACTTAAAGGTCCCTCCCAGTCCAAACCAGTCTGGGATTCTGTGACAATGCTGTCCTCGTCCTGCCTGCTGCCAGGAGCTTGGCGTGTTTGCCTGACTTAGGGACAGTGTCTGCTCTGTCCCTGCCAGCTCCTGGGGATGGGTCTCCTGGGACACCCCACCCATGAGGATGGGGCCACAATGAGGGGCTTGATGCAGGTGGGGGCTGCAGGGCACAGGCACCCAGTGCTGCTTCAGATACAGCACCAGCTGGGACAGCCCATGGCACAGATCAGTGTCAGAGGAACCTTTTTGCTGTCCCCTTGATCCCATCTGAGCCCCTGGGATGCAGGAGGGCCACACTGCCAGCCTCTTTTAATGTGCTGATCCTTTTTCTTTCCCTTTTCCAGGCCTTTGCACTGAAGCCAAGGGAAGCACCTCACAACTGCACTGCACACTGCTCAGCTCTGATTCCTCTGGCAGCCAAACATCTCTGTCACTGACACCTCGAGGGCTCTTTCTCCTCTCCCTGCCCGACTCTCCTGTGTCTGTGCCTGGAAGCTGGTGCCCAGCAGTAGCTCTATCTCCCTGTCCATCCTGCTGGACCTCTCCCCACCATGTTTCAGCGTCTCACCAGCCTCTTCTTCAGTGACAGCAGCACGCCAGAGGGCCTGGAGGAGCCCAAACCCTTTGTCGAGGAAGAGGAGGAGGAGGATGGCTGGCTCATAATTGATCTTGCAGGTGAGCAAAGCAACAGAACTGTCTTCCCACAGCCTCTGCTGCACCTTGTCTCTCCAGAGCTGGGCAAACCCTTCTATCAGCAGATGAGCTTACACCACATAGGAGCAGCTCTGCCCTTCATTTTTTCTCCCTTGATCCCCATGCTCTGCCCGTGGTGCCCAGCCCTGTGGTCTCTGCAGCAGCCTCTGACCTGCTCCTCCTTTTTCCCTTTCCTCTCCCAGTGACGGTTCTCAACTTTCTGCCAGTGTGGGAGCAGCATCAGCATCTCCAGCTGGGGTTGCTGCTGCCCAGAAGCCTCCAGGAGCCTCCATGCCAGGAGGAGAGCCTGGCAGAATTTTGGGGTGATGCTGCCCACAGGGGCCAGAGGGGTGGGGTCCCAGCCCTGGCAGGCTGGGCACTGCCATGGCCTGGGCTGAGCTGTGCCATGGACAGCAGCACTTTTCCATGAGGAGCCTGGCTCAGCTGCTCCCTGCCCTGCCCCTGCTGAAAGCACACTAGGAGCCTGTTCCCCAGGAGACCCCGGTCCTGGTGGGGGGCAGGGGGCTGTCCCCACGGGAGGGCAGGTGGCAGTGGTGCCTGCCTGTTCCAGCTGGGGATGTGCCACCAGGGATTTGGCCATGTTTGGGTCATTTGAGAGGAGTAAATCTCAGCTGCATGGGGGTTATCTTCCCAAATTATTCCCAGTGTTCATGCCAAGCACCAGGTGCCTGTACCTAGAGAGCCCACAGGGCTCCCCATTCCCAGAGCCATCCTGAGCCCTGTGTAACACCAACCAAGCAGATTGAATTCCTCCTGTGCAGATCTTCTCCAGCTCTGTTCAGACCTTGGGAGTTTCTGTCGTAGATTGATGACTCAGCCAATTGCAATGATGTTTTTATGACCTTTTCCTTGCAAATCCAGCAGCAATCAGAGACAAACCCTCCTGCCTGTGCAGGAGCTCCTGATGGCCATGCTCTGCTTTGGTAGCCCCTGGTTGGCTGTGAGGCCCCAGCTCAGGAGACCACAGATGTATCCTGCAGGTTTAGGAGGAGGGGTTTGTCCTCCCTCTTGCAGGCAGCAGGACTCTGTGCAGATGTTCCCTGCCTGTTCCCCATGCTTGTTTTTGTTATTCAAGTTGTTCATCAGGGTTTTTTTTCCCATATGCAGTGACCTGGAGAAGGGACCAGAGCAAGGACAAGACTGGGATGGGGACAGGGCCAGCCCCATGCCTGGTGGGAGCACTGGAGAGCTGCTGGAGGTGATGGGTGGTGTGGGCATGGGCAACTGTGGAGGCTTCCCTGTGCTCTGGGCATTCAGGGGACTGTCCAGAGAGGGTCATGGCAGTGCCATGGCAGGGGGCTGTTGCACGGAGGGCCCTGGAGCGGTGGGCACGCAGCTGCCACATGCCAGGGCCAGCTGGCTGCAGCTGCAGTGAGCCTGGGGCATGCCAGGAGGAGCCAGGAGCTTCCCAGGCAGAGAAACCCTACGCTGTGCCCTGATCCCTGGGTCGAGGATGCAGATGGCTCACAGGGGACCAGGGCTTGACTCTGGCACAAAGCATTCCCACATTTTCCCAGTGAAGCGCCTCGGCTCTCGGTGCAGCGCTGGCTTCCAGCAGTGTCTGCCTGTGAATGGCACCCTGCTGCTAATTCAGCTGCACTCTGTTCCCACGGCAGTGCCTGAACAGTGGGGGACCAGATACTTTCAGCTCTATTTCTGGGGCTTGAGTTATACCAAACTCTCCAAGAACCAAACCCGCAGCCCCATCCTTTCCCTTGGAGCTGTGGTGGCCAGCAGCTGCTCCCAGCCTGGCTCCCTCCCAGCAGCAGAGAGGCAGCCTAGGGAGCCTCTGGATTCAGCCTCTGCCAGCCTGGCCATTGCCCCCTGTGTTGCAAAAGGCACCAGATTTACTCAGACCTTCCTGGAATGTTTCTGATGCTGCTCCTGCCCCCTTGCTTAGCCTGGCCCTGCTCAGCACCCAGGGAGAGAGCAAAGAGCATTTCCCACAATGTGGCTGCATCACTGAGGTACTTGAGGATCCCAAAATATTGCTTTGTGACATTAAAGCCCACCTTGGCAAAGGATGGGCACAGTGCCCAGGATGCTCTCCGTGCCCTGTTGTGGGAGAGCTGCTCCAGCCAAGCTTGGAGGCTGTCCCCAGGCTGACAAACTCCAGCCCAGCATATCAACAGCTATTAATAGGCTGATATCCTCTGACCTGGAGAAAGACATTCTCGTGTTTGGAAGGCCAGCTGTGGCCTGTCCTGGACTCTGGGCTGGGGCATCAACAGCAGGAGGAGCTGGGGATGCACCGAGCCAGGAATACCCAACCCCATGCTCTGTTTCTCCACACAAGAACAGTTTCATCTGCGCTTTCTCCTGCTCCCTCATCCAGCTGCAGGGTCCATGTAGGTACTGCACTGCCTCCTCCCTCACCAGTTCCCTCAAATCCCCCTGATGAGTCTGGGAATGGGTGTGGGCATCCCCACATTTGGTGCACGCTCCCTGCCCTTTACAGCACCAGTAATTCCAAGCACAGGCAGCCGAGAAAAGCACTGGCCCAGGTGCTGCTGCCAGGTAGAGGTGAGCAAGGGAAGGCATGGGAGGCTCGGGGGGGTGTCAGCTTCTGGATCAGCCACTCAAAACTTGGCGTCTAACAGGCTGGAGTTGAAGGCACAGTGAAAACCTTTGCTGAAGAATTTATTCCCATGATTTCTTCCAGAGAAAAGGTGTGGACTGTTTTTCTGCTGTGTGTGCTTGGTTTCCGTGTTTGCGGAGTGCTGGGTGCTGTTTGTGAGGCCCGGCCTGGCCCGGCTCAGGCGCCATCAGAAGGGGGAAAGCAGCGTTTTTCACTGCCTGGACTTCTTCTCTCCTTTTGAGAAGGAAAAACCCCCTTGCTGCAGTAAACCCTGCTGGTGTCCCACCTCTGTGGCTCAGCCTGTCCGAGCAGAGCCGTGTCCGTGCCCGAGCGGGGGGTTCAGGCCGGGGCGCGGCGCGGGCCCGCTGTAGCGGCGTGCCGGCGGTGGGTGTCTCTCGCACTAACGATGCCCCTTTCTCTCCCCCTCCCTCCCTCCCTCCTTCCCCACTGTACATGGTATGTGTGTGTGTCCCCGCTGCGCCCCGCATGGCTCTGCACCCCCGCCCCAGGCAGCCGTGCCCGCACCGGCCCCGCCCGCCGCCCGGCTGCTGGCGGCACCGGGCGCTCGGCGCGACCCCGCCCGACGCCGCCCGGTCCGCCACCGCCACCGGCTGCTTCCCCGGTTCCGGCCGGTCCCTGCTTGATGGACGAGAGTTGGTTTGTCACCCCTCCCCCCTGTTTTACTGCAGAGGAGCCCGGCCCCGACGGCGTGGGGAGCAGCCCCATGGAGGACCTGCTCATCGAGCACCCCAGCATGTCCGTCTACGTCACCAGCACCCTCGAGGTGGATGGGGAGGGCCCCGAGGACGCTGCTGCAGAGTGAGTGCACTGTGCGGGCGGTGGGGGGCCAGCAGCCCCAGCACCCACTGAGGGACCTGGCATGGACGCTCGCTCGGTCCTGCCATCCCAAATCCCCGCCTACACCCAGGAATGTTTCACCCAAGGACGTAGTGTGACAGTGGGGGACATCGGTGTCCCCACACCCACCTCAAGGAACACTGCATACGTGGCAGGGTGGCACCATGCATGGCTGGCAGCCCCCGTGTCCCAAAATGCTCTGCTAAGGGGTCTCAGTAGCATATTCCTATGGCCATGGCTGCAGGACATGAGCTTGGCACTGGGCTGTGCTGGGAGAGAGCTGTGCTCATTTCCCCTGCCCTTAGCAGGGTCTCCTGGGCAGGCCACCTCTGCCAATGTCAGCGCCACCTGTCACTCCATCATCCATCCAGGGGGGTTTCCCAGGCGGGGCTTACACCGGGGGTTTGCACAGGCATGGCCCAAGCAAAGCAAGCCCAGTGGGACAGGGTGGCCTTTGGGCACAGTGGTCCCCTGAAGACCCCGAGGTCCCTCAGGCAGGAGGGTGCTGCAGCCCCCCTCAATCCCCCACCTGTCCCCAGACTGGCCCAGCATGGGAGTGGGTATCTCACAGCTGTGGGGAGTGGGACACTTCTCCTTGCCCCACATCTCAGTTCAGCAGTGGGGAAATTAAACAGAAATGCCCCAAATAGCCCCTTTGTCCTTCCAGGCCTGTGGGCTGGAGCCCTCCACACCCATTTCTCCAGGGGTCACATCCTGGAGCTCTGCCCTGCCCCCAGGGCTCCTCTCCCCTGCCCTGCAGCCCCCAGGGAAAACCTGGAGTGTGCCCACACTCAGCCTGGCTGCTGCCGGACAAGCCCTGGCTGCCCCTGTGCCATGGGGTCCCTGCTCTCCCCCCTGGTCCCAGCCCTCCAACACCTCCCCTGCAGCCCCTCAGTGGGGCAGTGGAGGAGTAAGACTTTGGGGTGAGCTTTGCTTCAGGCCAGGAGACACTGTTCCTGGTTAGGGGACAGCATTCCTAGTTAGAGAACACCATTCCTGGTTACACTGGTCCTACCTAGTGGACACCATTTCTGTCTAGGTGACACCATTCCTTCAGGACTTGTCTCTTTCCAAAGCCTTCCTGAGGGCCAGAGCTTGATGTCCAGAGTGGACAGAGTGTTCTGGAGTGCCTCAGTGCTGGAGGGGGGCAGAGAAGGGCTAAAGGGAACCTGAGACTAGCCAAGGCTCCAAACGGGTCACGGTGGGATGGAGACAGACCAGGCTCAAGGGACGCAGACCCTCAGACAGTGGAGTTCTTGGTGGTGTCCTGATGTGTCCGGGGTCCCAGGGCCTGCCGTGCTGGAGTACCGCACGGCTCGGCAGGCTGTCGGGGCAGGAGGGCCGTGCCGGAGCTCGGTGTGCCCCGGCTGCCGGGGCGGGCCGCTGCTGTGGCGCTGACGCCGCTGTCTCCGCAGGGACGTTCCGGAGCCGCGGCCGGAGCCGGCGCTGGCGCACCGGGGCCGGGCGCTGGCGGTGAAGGCGGCGGCGCTGGACAAGGCGGGGCAGGCGCAGCGGGCGCAGCGGGCCAAGCAGCTGGCGGAGCGGCACCGCCTGGCCCAGAAGGCGCTGCAGCGGCAGAACCGGGCCCGGCAGCGCCCGCCCCGCCGCGCCAAGCAGCTCCCAGGGGCCTTCGTCCACCAGCCCTGCCAGCGCCACTGCAACTACTGACCTCGCTCCGCCGCCCAGGGGCTCCCCCCGGCCGGCCCCGGCCCCGGCCCCGGCCCCGGGAGCGGCCCCCACGGACACCGGGGACACGGCGGCGGCTTCACTCCACAGCCCGCGCCCGCACGCCTGACCCGCTCTCCTCATCTTCCTCCTGTACCCTCACCGCGCCCCTCACCCTCGATGCCGTCTGGGTCACGACCCCCGGCGCCGCCGGCATGGAGGGCCACGCTGCCCCTGCCCGGCTGCCTCGGCAGCCTTCACGCGGGAAATCAGAATTCCCAGTGAAATCACCTGTTCCTGAAATCACCTGTTCCCGGTGAAACCTGTTTGTCCTGATAAGTCTGTGACATCAGTGCCTTTCCTCACATCATGACTCCATGTACAGCCTGGCTGGGATGTCACAGAGACATCGAGCGAGAGTGACAAGAGCAATGAAGCCACAAGATTTGGGATTTTTAGGAAAATCTAATCAATGACACTAAATAATGCTTCCGCCCTGCAAAACCAGCAAATACTCCTCTCCCTCCTTGATTTCTTAGCTACATATTACCATGATAGATAACGCCCACTGCCAGTCCTGAAGGGGCTTGTGGTTGAAAGCGCTGGTGGAATCTCCATGGCTGGGTCAGCCAGGCAGCTCCTGGTGCCTCACGGTGTTGCTTTTTTTTAACAACGTTAAAGGAAATCTCAGGAATCAAAGCACCGTCCCAGCGCCGCACCGGAGCCCTTGGCTGCCGTGCCAGGAGGGGTGGCCAGCCTGGGGTGGCATCACCGTGGCTGGTGGTCCCATCCGAGCGAGCCCTTCGGTCCTGGAGCCAGTGACCTGCCCCAGCCACAGCTGCATCCCCGGGGTACGCCTGTCTCTGTGTGCGTATGTACTTCTCTGTGCCTGGACACGCAGAAGAGGCACTGTTAAGCCGAGGGTTGCTGTCTGCCTGCTGTTAGTCCCCAGGAGGGGAGAGGAGGCAGGATCTGCGCTGCTTCCCTGAGGTGGCCAAAGCACGTCCGTGGTGGTGGTGAAGAGATGCTGAAGAGGAGGCCGGAGGGAAGAGGCTGAAGTGAGGACAAAGATGGATCAGGGAGCCACTGCACTGGGTCAGGATGGGGCAGGCCTGACTGAGAGGATTGCTGTAACAGGAGCTGTGACAGAGGCATCTTCTTTCCCCACTGAAAATGGCATCCTTTCCCATGAAGGGCCAAATTCACTGCTAGGTGATGCTAATTTTTAATGCAAATCCCTTCTCTCTCCATGATGGACTCCTTCTGCCTTTGGAAGAACATGGTCCAGGCTTTTCATTGGCTCCAGCACCAGCTGAGACAGCTTCAAATCCAGCAGAAATTTGCTGATCTGTCCCCAGTTCTCTCCTTTTAGGAACTGATTTTTTACCCTGGGAAAGCACCCTGCTCATGGCCACAGCCTGGATTCCCACCCTTTGAGACAAGAAGTGTCCCCACAACACTCCAGAAAATTCTGATTTCACCAGAGGTTCTTCCACTCACCATGTTGCATCCCTTAATATCAGCTGGAGACCTCGGCTGAAGGAATTGTGGTGAGCCCAAACTGAGACAGCTGATAGATATTAATTCTTTTCATGAGATTAAAGCCAAAATGAACCTTCTTAGTAGCAACAGCCCCTAGCTCTGGGCCAGGGAGCCTGGACCGTGGTAGCCAGCTGCTGCTGCTCCCCTGCAGCATTTCCCCTTCACGCCGCTGCCTCGGCTTTCCCAAAAGCACAGGGCTGGGCTTTTGGGCAACTCCAGAGTGGTGCATCCCAAGAGGTGGAAGCCCGTGCCCTCGGCATTGTGCCGCCCTCCTCGGGCCTCTCCACAAGCTCTGTTCCTCGCCAAGCCTGAGACCACAGCGAGATCACCCTGTTGTGAAGAGGCTGACATCTCCTGACTCCAGGGGAGTGTTTACATCCTTTGGCTTCCTGGGCTTCGCACTCAATGCCTTTTTTCACCGCTGCAGTGATGCCTGGGGTGGGTTGGGAGCAGGGCACGTGCAGGGGCAGGGGCACAGGTGCTGTGGCAGCAGGCAGGGCTGAGCCCCTGATGTGTGCTGCCCTCCCATCCCCGCTGGATGCGCCGCTCTGCGGCCGCTGGGCAGCAGCGTTGGAGGAGGCATTGTCTCTCGGGCCCCAGCACACATCAAGAAGGGCAGAAGCCAAGCACTGTCCAGCCTTCCAGCTTGGTCTTCACTGCACATTCTCCTGCTGCCAGTCCCTCTGGAGCACTGCAGAAGTCAGAGGCTGGCTGTGAGGCCACTGCCCCCTCAGCGGCTCCCAGAGGAACAGGCTGGGGGAGCAGTGGCCCCGAGGCAGATCCTGCCATGTCTCACCTGCCAGGCTCTCCTGTGCCTGCCCAACTGCTGGAGATGGTACCCCAGGAGAAATCCCGTATGGAAATCCTCCCGTGCACCCTTCTCATCTGCTGTGAGCCAGCAGCCCTTAGCCGTGTTCCTGGGGACTTGTCTCAGCCTGGCAGTGCCACCAGCACCCAGCCCCCAGTGCCCATTTCAAACAGGTGATCTTCCTCTGTCCTGGTTTTCAGAAGCAAATTCAAACTCTTTCTGTGCCAGTCTGAGATGTCTTTCATCACTCTGTGCCCAGCCAGCACAGGAGATGAAGCAGAACTATTAACACACTTTATACCCAGAGTATGTTTATAACGGATTAATAAATTATTAATGATGTTTTCATGAAGAGGTTAATCCAGACCGTGAGCCTCTGGTGGGTCATCAGAGTGCACAAACCACAGCAAATGAGCTCCTGCAAGTCCCCTCTGTTGTTTGCACTCTTGCTGTGTATTAACACCTAACACTCACCTGCCAACCCCTGCCAGGCACCTGTCACCCCCAGTGTGACCCCCCCGCCCCGTGCTCTGGTCAATCTGTGCTTTGCAGAAGACCTGCAGTGCTCTGCTCCTGCCCCGCAGCAAGACCTGGCCTGGTCCCAGGCTGCCTGCCCAGTGCTGCCAGAGCAAGAAAACCCCTTTTCACTGAGGTTTTTTGTCTCCTCAGATCTTAAAACAAATGAAAGGTGCTTAAAAACTGAAAACTTCCTGTGTGTGCACCCATTTGCATGTGTAGATATTTCACAGCCCAGTGTGGGTGTTCTGTAGCTTGTTTTGGGGTTGATTTTTTTTAGGGGTTTGTTGGGGTTTTTTTTGCACCCAGTATTCGTGATGCACTGTGTGGTACTTCCAGTGGGAAGGTTCTGGTTTGCAGGAGGCTCTTGAGCTGGTCCTGCTGGGACAGGTAGGGTGAATTTTGCTTTGTTTTCTGTACTTGTGTAGGGGGAAACTACAGCATGGACTCAGGGACAAACCTATCTGCTGGGGTCTTTAAAAATGTCTTTTTCCCAGGCTGCTCTGTTAGAATGTGGGGTTTGGTTCTGGAATGCTGCAGGGATGTGGCCTGTGGCAGCACGTGGTGGTGACGGGAGCTGCAGGGTGCTCTGACACTCCTGTGTGAGAAAGAAATTGTGGCCATTCACGGTGGGATCATTCCTGGGCTGCAGCCCCTCTTCATTTGTTCGTGACCTGAAAATTCACCTTTACAGCCAAATGGCTTGTGCACAACCAGGTATGGATTTTCAGCGCTGAGCCTCCTGGGGTTTGGGAGGTGCAGCAGGACTGTGTGTCACAGCCTGACCCACCACATCACTGGGTCAGGGCACAGCCAGCATGGGGAAGCCATTGAAATGATCACCTGGGGAAATGGTGATGCAGGCAACTGAAAGAAATTTTTGTATTTCTTGCAATGAAAGCATAAAAAAGGTAAGAATTGTCAGTGGAGAGGCCTGGGCAAATCCCTGTTCCGTAAATGCCAGCTGTGATGGGCCGTGTGTCAGTGCTGGGCTCAGACAGCTGAGCTGGCTCCAGCCCCAGCTCAGGTGGGCAGCAGGGCACTGGGGCAGGCTGGACAGTGCTCTCGGCAATGCTGGAGCTTGTGAGACCCCCTGTGGAGGGAAGAATCTTCCCACCATGAAGCCCCCATGGTGCAGGGATCTTCTCCAAGTAAGATTTGCCTCTGCTGGCCTGGTTCTGCTCTGGCTGCCGCATCCCAACGTGAGGGATGAGCCCTCAGAGCGTGATGGGACCAGGAGGGACGGCCCTGCTGGAGAAGTGCCACCTCTTGGGCTGCACCAGGGCCCCCAGTTCCCCCAGACCCCCAAGGCTGTGCTTGCTGCACTGGGCAAGCTGTGGCCATGGCACACTCAGGACCCCTGACCAGCAGCCACAACAAAGTTCTCACAGCAAATTCTGGCTCTTGCTTGGCACCGCAAGGCTGGAGGGATGCCAAGGGAGTAGGGGCAAGAGTCCTCCTCAGCTGTTGCTCTGAAACTTGCACTCACAAATGCTCCTTCTAAGAAACTGCTGCAAAAGCTTGGTCTGGAAGGAAAACAATTCTTTCCATGGGAGTCCATCTTTCCTTCTCATTGTGCAGAACATAAATGCATGGCTCATCCCAAAGATCACTGCTGTGGGAATCTTCTCTCTTTAGGTGTGTTTCTAATCAATAATTTTACATTTACGTCATACTAGTACTTTTTCTTCTATTCAGCCCTAATGGGGAGCAAAATACCCACTTAAATGTCTTACCACACCAGTAAGGAAAAAAAAAAAAAAATACTCCAGTGAGGTTCTAGGCTTGAGTCGCACAGCTTTGCAGTTGCCCCTCTGGATCAGTATCAATTCCATTGCCCTGCTTAAAGTGGAAATTAAACTTCATGTGAATTTATTGAAAAACAAGTGAGTCCCCAAAGATCAAACATCTAATAATTAGGAAATAGTAAGAAGACATAAGTCACCTCAAGTCAAGAGAATTGGTTCTCAGCATATCTCAAAAGGCAGCACTGGGCCCCACTGCCCTGGGAATGGCTGCTGGCAGTCCTCGAGTCTTCCCTGAGTCTCTGGGTTAGAACAGGAGCCATCCATGTCCAGCTGGTGCCACAGGGACTCTGGAGCCACCAGGCATTGTCAGCTGCCACCACTCCCAGCCTTCACTTCGCTGCTCCTCCTTTGCTGCATGCACTCAGCAATAGGTGCTGGTGGCAGGAGGGAAGCATCAGCACCCCAGCATCCCCCCAGCTTCTCAGAGCTTCCCCCCAGCCCTTCTCCATCACTGGACCGTGGTGACCTCCTCAGCACTGCTGCCGGCAGGGACTAGAGCCTGAGGAGGGAGATTGATGGCACTGGCAGCGCCCCTCTCCCAGGGGATGCCACAGGCAGACCTACCAGGGACAGGAATGGGCCTTGAAAGGGGCTGATCCCCTCAGGACTTGTCTTCTTCAAGGTGGGGCTTCCCACCTCTCAGATTTGCTCCACACAAAGTCAGTAACCTCTTCGTGTCCTCATGGGATCCGTCCCATCCCGTTCCCATCACCGGAGTGGCTGCCACAAGTTGCCTGGACGTGGCTGCGGGAGCTGGATGCGGCAGTGGGAAGGGCTCTGCACAATCCCTTCTTCGCTGAGAGGTGTCCTCAGCCCCCTTGGAGGTGCCACCTTCTCCTTGCTCATCTCCAGGATCCAGAGCACTCCCTGGCCGTGGGCTCTGGACAGCTGGACATGGTTGGCCAGGAGGTCTCCCTGCTCCATCAGCCTTGCTTTTTGCTTCTTGAAAGCGTTTGTCATTAACCCGTAACCCTCTCCTTAGAGAAATGAGGATAATGAGCAGCTCCATTTAATAGCAAAAGAGGCTTTTATGTGTGATCATTTTTCCAGTTCTTTGCAGAGTGGTGACACCCAAGCGTGTCCCCCGTCACTCATTCTGAGCTGACACCTCCTGGCCTGGCGAGGGGGTTGCTTTTCCAACCCCCTATTTTGTACAGGGATGCTGCCCCACACTCCTGAGCACAAAAAGAGCTGCAAAGCTTTGACTCTCTTGCAGATAAACCTGAAAGTCCTGCCTTCCACTCTGACCCTATTTCATTGCATGGCAGGGGGAAAGATTTTATTCTCTGCAAATGAAGGGGAAAACAGCGCAGTAAATTTTAAGTGTATCTTAAAAAATGGGTTGCACAGGGGAGCCCAGAGCTCCTCTGCTCTTTCACGTTCACCTCATACCCTTGCTGGGGAGCCATGAGCAGCTGTGCCCAAGTCTCACTGAATTCTTATCTTCAGCTTTGTGCTTTGGGCAGTCTGGGGATGAGGGAGCAGCACAAGGTGTAGCAGTAAACCAGTGAAATTTCCTTGTGTCAGAACTGCACTTGCACAGAGCCACCGAGCACTGCAATATTCTATCTGTGTGTATCCACCCCTGGTACCTGCTTGTAAAACTCTTGCCCACACATTACCCTCCCCCATGTGGGACTGACTGACTGTACATGTGCCTTCACCCTTTTTCATGGTTTGGCATCTTTTTTTAACACAGTTACAGAACTTGAAAAAAATCACTGAACTGCAGTTACAAGTCCTATGCAAGAGGTGACCAGGGAGTCAGTTTTCAGTATTTCTGTGTTTCTGTGTCATTTTCAAAGTCACTGTGGGGTTTTTCAGAGAACCCCGACAGAATGAATGCCCCAAAAAGCGCTTTTTTTTCTTTTTTTTTTTTTTTTTTGTTTTTTTTTTTTTTTTTTTTTTTTTTTTTACAA